GCTACTGCTGCTGCTGCTACTGCTACTGCTACTGCTACTGCTACTGCTACTGCTACTGCTACTGCTACTGCTGCTACTACTATTACGACGACGACGACGACGACGACGACTACTACTACTACTACTCGTGCTACTACTACATTGTACGGGCGATGCAAAAACGGCTCGTTTTTCTTTTTGTTGGTCGGTTTGGTCGTTTTGGGGGGAACCGTCGTTATGGTCATTTTGCTCTTGCGACAGGTGGCAAAATGACCAGTCATTTTGGTGGCGCAAAACCACCGGTCGCTTTGGTCGTTTTGCACCCTTGCGCCACTTGGGGGGGGCGGGGGCATCCAGACCAAAATGACAAAATGGCCGGTCGGTTTGTTCGGTGCGACCGGTCGCTCTGCCGACCCTGCGGATCATCGTGCACTCACGCTGTACTACTACTACGACGACTACTACTACGACGATGACTAGCACTACTGCTACTGTTCCAGCTGTCCTCCAAGCGTCCACACAAGGTTTCCCCTCCGAATCTGGTTCTGTTTTTTCGGGCTTCCCATGAACCTTTGGACCTTGAGGGGTGGCCCCGCCTTTTGAATCAGGTTCAAACATCAGGGAACAGCGCTGAACGACTGCATCACATGTGTTCGTCTCTGGCTTCATTGCAGTGTTCGTGTTATCTATCTCTGGCTTCGATGAAGGCGCAGTGCATTTCAGTCATTTCCAGCTTCATGCCCGTTTTCGTATTAGCTAAGCTGGGTCTGCACGAATGATGCCACGACTACTACCAACTTAGTTTCCTATTTCCGGCTTCGAACTTGATACACTTACGCTGTGTCCCCCCTTAGTGTCCGCGCTCGTGTCGGTTGCGCATACCGTTGCATTTCTGCTTTGGTTTCAGGCATTTCCGGTTCCGTTTCTGGTTGCAGAATCAATGGCATTTCCGTAGTTTCCGGCTATCACTTGGCGCTGCAAGATTGACGCAGGTCCGTCATTTCGGGCCTCACTTCCATAGCAGCTCGTATCGACTGTTTCTGGCTTCATCTGGGCGGCAGAACTGATGAATCTCTTCCATTTCCGGCGTAATTTCCCTGTTCGCCTTTTGGTCATGAATTAACTAGCGACTCCCCATTTTCGTTTTCTTTTGTGGGTCATTTCCTGCTTCATTTCCGTGTTCATATTCGTGATCGTATCGGTTATTTCCAGATTCTTTTGGGATCAAAATCCTGCGTGTGCTTTGTTCATTTGCTGCGTCATGTCCATCTTGATTTCCGCGTTCGTATTGGCATTTCCCGATTCATTTCAGCTGCATAATTTGTGCATTTCCGTCTTCATGTCTGCCTGCATTTCCGCCTTGATTTCTGATTTCATGTCCGGCTGGCGGTCAAACAGCCAATGGAGATTTGTGGCGTCCTTCTCAGAGATTGCAACCCAACAGTATTGTTGCTGGGAACCATGATGATGCAGACAAATCATTCGTATCATCAAACAGGGCAGCAAAAAGGGTCGTAGCAATCGGGAAGGAGTTGGACCTTCCAGCTTCCGAGCTGGTGCTCGAGCAGTTCAGTCTCTCGGTCAAGTTTGGTAGAAGACTCTCGAGACTCAGAGCACATCGTCTGAAACCATGGGCTGCAATTACGTGGTAGCTTTGCGCGAGCTCGTCCCGAGTCCCAAGCCAGCTAATGAGGTGATGACTTGTACTGGTCTTGTGCCGACGACGTTCCCCGCAGCCTGCCGCTGATCCAGTGTCTTGCCTGCAGCCCGGTGGAATCCGGTGGAAAGCTGTGGGGTTCTACGAGAGGCCAAGTGGTCAAGCCTGCACTGCAGCCGGGATTTTGAGGTTAAGTGCCAGAACTCGCTACTTTGTGCCGTGCAGGCTTTGAGCCTCCATGAACATCCTTGCAGCTACCTGAGCACCAAGCAAAACGCTCGTTTGCAGCAGTTTCCTGCCGCGTAGATGCAGGATGGAATTTGCACCATTGGCAATGTCCATGGTGAAGCTGCCTCGGCTCGCTCATCATCTGAAAAGCGCTCGTGGAGTTCTGAGTGGGCAACACCGGATGCGGTTTGTATCATTGAAGTCGGCTCTGGCGGTGTATTGTGAACATACCGCACGGCTGTGTGTCTCGCTGCCCAGTGTCGCCATCTCGTGCCGATTGTCGTCTTCAGAACGGCACGTTGCAGATCGAGTTTGGTCGCTGACAATGCTTACGTCGGAAGTTACGGCCAGTTACGGCAGTTGCTACGAGTGCAATATTGATGCCGCGTTTGCTGCTTGTCTTGTCAGGAGAGTGCGCACCTTGCAAGCGGATACGGTAAGCGAGTTGCGATCCCTCCTCCCAACGCAGGCGCACACTGCTTGGGCTGAGCGCTTCTGCCGCGAGGCGCGAAGAAATCGACGAAAAAGTCCACCACATGTCGTTGCTGCTCTTCTGCCCCGGAATCCTGGAACCGAAGGAAACACGATCTCGCCTGAGGTGGGTGTTCCGTTCACAAGTTGGTCCAACTCAAAGGCCCGGGATTTTGACCTACAGGTCCATGTCAAAGTGAGACACGGCGATCAGGGTATTTGACGGGCCTTGCTTTTCCTGACTGTCCACGTTCCTCTGATGCGTGTTACATCAGGTGTCAGGGCAATGGCAGTGACATTGGTTTCAGGATTGCAAGCAGTGCTGTCTGACTTCTGTAGTCCCAGCGCGTAGCTTCAGAAATGAAAATTCATTATCGTGTTCTTCCATGCTGCCGGTTCTCTGCCACCTTTCCAAACTTAACTTCGCCGCCCTAAACCCCGAACCCCGAACCCGCTTTCAGATCCGACTGAGACTGGGAGAGATGTCTTCATGATCCTTCGTGCATCCATGCCCATGTCTGCCTCAAGCAACAAGTCGAGTCCCGTCGTGCGCAACAGATACCTGGGCGGCAACTCAGAATCGGGTGCGCTGCTCAGCCCCTGAAGTCTGTATGCAGTCGGGTAGAGTCGGTAGCAGAATGCCCTTCTGGCAGTGCTGCAGGGCAAGGGATCAATTCATCGGTTGTCATTGAAGCGATGTTCGTGGTTTACTTCCCCGCATTCTCCACAGGTACATCTCTCCAGACTTTTTCCATCACTCTGCCGGAGCCTTTGACCCCACCTAGTCCGGCCTGCCTGCCCTGCCTGCCGATGCAATCGAGGTGTCCTTCTTCTGTCACGCTTTGCTTGAGCACCGCAACGCCGCCTGCAGCTCAACCCGAGTCTATCCAGAGTGTCCCAAGAAAGCGTTGAACAGTTGAAAAGGCTGTGTATGCAACGGGATGATATCTCCCAAACAGCTGTCATGTTACCAGGCACTTCGATGCAGGGCAGCACGCGTGGGTTCAGAGCCAAGGAGCAGTTTGACGTCTTCATCTACAACAACGCATCGCGCGAGGATGACAAGACTGAGCTGTTCAAGTCTTTAGTGCTCGAGCCTCAGTCTGGCCGTCCAAACTGAGCAGATCGGAGACTTCTCTGCCACAGAACACCAGATGGGCCTGGCTCTGCAGCGTTAATTGCAGCCTGGAAGTATACTATTCTATACGTGTCACGAAACTGACAAGGACAACGTGCAAATGCCAGTAGGCCCTTAAGCATGCTTCATCGTGCTTCTCGCCTGGATTGTACACCTGCTCGCGTAGCGCCTTAACCGCGAACTCTTCAGGCTGGGTGTGGTTTCGGAAGACAGACTGGGCCGGGAGTGGGAGGGGAGAGGTCTTCTTGTGACATGCGTGTAGACACAGAGAAGCATGTACAAGTCAGTTACTCGTAACAGCAAATACGGGTTTCGTTAAACAGATCAACGAGATAAAGGAAAAAGGACATGTCGTATCCAACAAAGCAGCCCAGGGAAAATCAGCAATGGCAAATCATCTACAACAGGTCTCAGCGCCAGCCAGGGCCGTCAAAGGTTCGAGAAGGATCGAGAAGTTGAAACAGCAGAAGTTGCTTCTCTAGATAGAGCCAGACAGACAACTTTCCCGCGAATGTCCCCCGACGTGCGGGGGACCTGTGTCCTGAATAGGAAGCGCGAGGGCTCCACCTCGGCTTCGGCTGCTAGTGCTGCCGATGCTTGAGCTGTGGATGCAGGGGACGCCCGGAAGCCCACCAGCACCCGTGCTCCATGCATGATCCTCCAAGGGGCAGGGACTGCTTAAGAACTGGAGACGGTGCAGGTCCGGAAACCACAAGCTTTCGGCAACACGGAACAGATGCAGTAAAGCTGCATAGATGCACGTCACTCCGGCTGACTGAGGCCTGCCAACCAGTGGAAGAAGGTCACTGGCATGGCTGCCCACGAGGCAAGGAGTTTCTACAAGCCACTGAGCCAAAACTTCCTCAAGGGCCCAACTCCTCACTGGCTCCCGTTGTCGGTTGGCCACAACCATTTCTCATGGCCTTGCAGGAGTACCAGGCATGCAGACAGAAATGCAGCTGTTTTCAGGTTTAGGGTTATGCAGCCTGCATGGACCAGGTGTGGTGTGGTTTTCATCATCTTTTGCCGGACAAAGTGCTCTGACCCTCAACATATTTACATCGATTTTTGCAACCAGCAGTTCCAGCAAGCTACCACAATCGATTTCTCGGCCGACTGAGCGCCCGAAACCAGCAGCCTCAGCAGGGACGGTGTCCCGTAAGGAGTGGCCTGGAGGAAGGGGAAAGGTAGCCACGCATGCCTTGGCCGACTGAGACAGTTTCGCTATTCACCACTCGGATAGGACATGTCGACATGACAGCCAGGGGTCTTACAATAAGAAATGATCGCCAGCAAAGAAGACCGACATAGATCGACCCTGGAGTCTGTACGGCGTGAAGGCGAACTCGGGGCAGAGATGACTTCCAGAACAACGGCAGCAAAATGCAGCAAAGTTTCGATAGGTTCGTGATCGGAGCCCTGTCTCCACACGTATGTCTGCAATTTGACATGTGGTCAGCGGAAAGTGGCAAAGCACGAGACGACTGGAGGGGTGCGGAAGCGCGGATGGCAGCTGCTGCCGTTGCACAATCAGTCACACTCTTGATGGATGTCCTTGCGAACATTACTAAAGTGCTGAGGGGAGATGACCCGGAAGAACCTTGCTAATTTTAACGCTACGCCGCCCGC